GGAAATGTAACCAGCAAGTAAATTTCACAGGAAAAATCCTGGCTCCAGTGAAGTCAAAGGGACTTTTGCTGTTGATTTCAATAGAGGCAGAATTTAACCGCTGTTGTTTATTATAGCCCCTCTTTTTTTATTTTCCTGAAATCCACAGCAAAATGCTATAGATTTTTCTAATAAAGGGGGAGAGGACATTTTTTTCAATTGTCAATTTCTATATATTGATATAGTTTATGTAGGTTTTTTGGACCAAATTCAACCCTGGTGCAAGTAATTCAACTCCCTTTGAACTCTTTCAACTTTCAATGTGTTGAATTTGGTCTTTCATCTTTAAATTACTCTAAATCATTATACCTGTATTACATTACAGCTATGATCCTCTCTTAATACCACTTAAGCATAAATTCTTTTGGTCCTAGAATATTAGCTATATGCATAAATTTAGCCAAAATAGTGGGTGGATGGAACTTTGGAAACATCTGATTCAAGCAGCAGTTCTTCTCTGTGATTTGGAAGGTCTGTGCTATTGGCTTGTAGTCAAAGCATGTCCTCATTTTACTCTCATAAGATGAATATCTTGTGCTTTAGTGCTTTTCCATCATGTGTGACTTATAAAATAATGCTCATCATTTAGGTAGCACAAGAATCTCAATGCAGGTTACAAAAGTGGATATCTCCATTTCACAGATAGAGAATTTGAGACACTAAATGGTTTAGTGTCTTGCCTGACATCAGTATCATCTGGTAAATTACTGTAGTAGTAGAGTTGGGACTAGGATCCTGGCCTCTTCACTCCCAGTCCTCCCTTTTAACCGCTAGAAAACATGGATTTATGTAAATCACCCCTAATAGAACAACAACAAAAAAGTCAGAATTTTCACAGAACAGCAGTGTCCCCAACAGCCAGGGAGCTGGGTAGCCCATCTTCCCTATAGGAGGGCTCCTCAGGGTGCCGGTCAGGCTTGTAACTGATGAAAGAGCCAGGGACTCCTAGGAGAGCAGTCTGGTGGGCTGTCCCAGAGCCAAGGACCTTGTGATCACTGGCTGCGGAGGACCTGTGAGCTCAGGAGCCAGGGCTTCCAGGCTTCTTGTCTCCCTACCAGGCAGGCTGCCAAGGAGCTGGGTGAGTGAGGTTTCTCACCAGAACCTGCCTGGTTTCCAGCAGAGTTTTGTTGAAAGTAGATTTCGACAAGTTGGCATTTTCTGATGGAAAAACTGTTCATTGGAAAATTTCCAACCAGGTATATCTGAAAGCTTATTCAATCATGCCTTTATTTTGAGTCACTGCAAACTAGTGTATTGGGAACTGTGACAATTGATGCCTTAGGGTTTTCAAAAAAGGATTGTCCACCTCTGCCAATACAAACCACGGTGCTGAGCAGTTAGAAGGCAAGCCAGTGACTGCTGCTCCTTTTCCCTTCCTTATCCACATTTCCCAGCTCCTCCTGCTGTCTAACAAGAGTGGCCCAGGAACATACAGGGGAAGTGAGCAGTCAGCAGTTGCATTGCAGTGACATCAGCCCCAGTTCACTTCTTCAATGAGAGAATGATAATAGAATGGACCATCTTTCTCCCTTTCCATTTCTCTTCCAATCTAGGAAACAGGGACACCATTGACTTTCTTTGGGGATAGAAATGGGTGGAGCTTAGTATAGGTGAGGGAAGAGAAATAAAAATACCAGTGATCCTAGAGGTAGAAAGTCAAAGTGAGACATCATTATCTTTTTTGAGTAGGAAGAGAAGCAGAGACATCAGTAATTTCTGTGGAAGAGATAAATGGTAGAGAGAAACAGGAAGATTTCAAGAGGAACAAGAGAGAGTTTGAAAGAGTCCTTGCAGAAGAAGATGCATGCTTCCTTGGGTGTGGAAGAGAAGAGTCATTTTCCATGTTACGTAGAGAACCCTGATAATACTTGAGTGGGGACTAGTCCTTTCAGTCCTACGTGAAAACACTGAAGGAAGGGAAAAGTAGCCCATATGGTCCCCGCACAAGATAATAGATAAAGAGAGTGTTAGCACATAGGATCCCCCGTAGGTTCAGTGAAGAACTCATACTTCTGGGTGTTATCTAAACCTCAAATATTTTGAGGATCTGAATAAAAATATCTAATATTTAAAAATACTTGAAACTCATCTGACTTTACAAAGAGATCTCTGGAGCTCTATCAAGACCCCAGCTTATTTAGCGATCTGTCCCTGGATTTTTTTGTCAAATGTTGACAACCACAACAATGGATAAGAGCAGAAGGATGTGTACAGGAATAATTTTAGCAATGTGTTGCTTTTAAGAAGTGGCCAAACTTAATCCATTGGAAGTGGAGGGAAGAGAAAGCATAGTGGCTACATGTTGTCATGAAGGAAATCATATGCAAAAGTAATGTATCCCTTTTATTATTTTATACTGTAGTTTGTATGATCTTTGGGGCAGAGGCTGGGCCTTTCTTAAATATCTGTAAAGCACCATGAACAGATCTGGTGTTGTATAAATATTTAGTAACAGGTAAATATCAATATTTCAGACAGTTTTTAAATTCTGAAAAGCAGCTCTTATTCTTAGGATTTGAAAGCTCCTCCCTTTAGACTCTATTTCTGAGTTCACTCCCTTTCAGAATAATTGGATTAATTTATATCTTTTAAGTCATTGATGTGTATAACAAGCAAACAAGGATTCTGTAGCCTTATGTAAAATAGGAATATCTGATAATTTAAATGTTTTGATCTGTCCAATCTGACTGTATAGACAGCTGTGTACCTGCATCTCCATTTATGTACAATTTATAAATAATCATGTAAAGTCAGCCAAATATGTAGGTTTTGATAAGACACTTGCATAGTCCAGTTCACACACCTTCATACTTGTCCATCTTACATGCTAATTCATAAAAATGATCTAATTTATATATCTTTTAAGTCATTGATGTGTATAACAAGCAATTTGTCCGGCAATTTTTTCTGAGCCACAGAAAATTCCTTCGATTTGTCATAACAGAGCATCTGTTTGGCCTCTCTTCTGTTCCTTGTATTTTTATCAAATGCTTGGTCATGGTGACAGTGTACCTCAGGAAGAAAGGAATCTACATCTTCCTGTGCCTGGATGACTAGTTACTGAAGGGCAGGTCCAGAGTGGAAGTCCTTTCCCATGTCAACACTACACTTCACTTGTTCAACTGTCTGGGTCTCATCCTAAACACCAGAAAGTAAACTTTGATTCCCACTCAGAATATCGAGTTCATTGGTAGGCCCTAATAGACGCTACAAGTTGGAGAACATTTTTGCCGACTGACCATTTTCAAGTGATTTGCCACCTTTGAGTCTGTCTACAATCTCAGCCTTCCAAGACCATTTGGATGTGCCTGAGGCCTCTTGAGCCACATGTCCACTTGCACGCAGCTGGTACAGTTTGCAAGGTTTTGTCTTCGCCCCATTCAAATATGGCTCAGGACAGTTTACTCTGTGACTCTTCACTCCGTGGATCAATTTTTCTGTCTCCTTCCACTGATCCTGGAATCCTTTCAGTGGTGGATGCTTCCAGAGAATGTTTGTCAGGGTGTTTCCTTCACGTGGCCCTTTTTACCAACCATGTGTATTGTCACTGACACCTCCCTGATTGGGTAGGGGGCACATCTGGAGTCACTGAAGTTCAAAGTCTGCACTCGGAGCAGGTGTCCTCACTGCATAACAATGTGCTGGAGCTTTGGGCCATCTGCAATCCATGTCAGACTTTTCTGGATCATATCGGGGCTCAGTGAATCACATACTTATAAACAATACCACCACAGTATGTTATGTGAACAGGCAAGGGGGAGCATGCTTCAGGATTCTCTGCCAAGAGGTAAACAGGTTGTAGCAGTTCTGCATTGAAGAGAGTATCACTCCAATAGTTGACCATTTCCCCGGGGTCCAGAATCATCTCATGGACCATGTCAGCAGGAATTCTTCCCTGAGTTGCAAGTGGTCTCTGAAGACCAGTGTCCCCTGGGTCATCTTCACAGCTTGGGGCATTCCAATGTTTTACCTGTTTGCTACGAGGAACAACAGGGAATGTCATCAGTTCTGCTCTCAAGGGGGCTTTTGGCCAGATTCACTGTCTGACGTTTTCCATCTCAGCTAGCAGCTGGCTCTGCAGTATACGTTTCTGCCAATCCCAATCATCCCACAGGTCATCCTCAAGCTGAAGGAGGATCAGGCCAAGCGCATTCTCATTGCCCTGACATGACAAGTGCTGGTTCTCCAATCTTCTTGTGCTGTCAGTTCAGCCTCCAGTACCCCTTCCTTTCTATCCCAACCTACTCACACAGAATCACGAATGCACTTTACATCCCATGCTCAGCTTCCTGCATCTCACAGCATGGCTACTTCGTGGCTAAATGAGGGGAAGTATGGTGTTTGGAGGCTCTTCAGCAGGTCCTACTCAACAGTTGAAAGCCTTCTGCCAGAATGGCCTAGTCATTAAAATGAGCCTTTAGCTCATTCAGAGTACATCTGGCAGCAATATCAGCGTTTCATCCCCCTATTCAGGTAAGATCAGTCCTTTCTAGTGCTATGGTAGCAAGAGTCTTAAGAAGACTTCTACATCTCCATTCTCTGGTCTGAGAGTTGGTTCCTTTGTGGGACCATAACTAGTGGTTTTAATGGGACCTCCATTTGAGCCCCAGGCATTTTGTTCCATTCCGCTTTTGTTCAGAAGACTGCTTTCCTCATAGTTAACGTGACTTTGTGACAATACCAATTTTTTTTGTCTAAAGTGGTTTTTCAGTTTTGTTTGAATCTGGTGATAGATTTACCTATGTTCTTTCCTAAACTGCGGTCATCTCCAGAGGAGCAGCATCTCCATACATTAGATGTCAGGTGATGTCTAGCCTTCTGTCTGGAGAGGACTATGCTTCATGAATTAAGAGTTCACTGTGGTGGATTGCAATTCTCAGTCACAGTTTCTATATCACACTTTTCTGTCCTTATATAGCCATTACTCTGAAACCGGTAATCAGTACCATTGTTGTATCCCTTGTAAAGTTGTAATTAGCAGCTGTGATGGGCAACAAGCCTGGAATTAGGATTGTGTTTAATGTTTTCTTCTCAAAGAACAACACTTTAAAGCTTAGCTGTCTTTAACCAGGTTTAACATGACTGAAACATAACAATACTTGCATCCCAGACGTAAAACATTAAAAGGTTCACTAAATTCTGAAGGTAGCTATACTGTAAAGTATTTTCAATTTAGTGATTGTATAATCTCTTTTTATGCTTCAAATTCCAATCCTAGACCAAGTTAGTGTCCACCCGCATTGATATTCTTGCTATCCAACAAAGCTGACAATGTTAGTTTGATACCTGGCTTCAAAGTCTGAGTGTATCCTAAACCAATCAGACTGGAGTTGTTCACTTTAGCAGAGAAAGATGCATTGGGGTCAATCTGATATTTGGCTGCTATTCTAAAGTGCGTGTTGCTATTTCCAGCTGTCCAAGCAAGGTTGACAGAAGTTTCCAATTTATCATTCATCTTCTGATAAATGGAGCCTCCAAATTCTGTGCCATCATTCACATGAGTGTGAAGCTGGAATTCATCAGTCTTATAACCAGCAGCGAAGTTGCTCTGGGTTACTCTGGATTTAGTCATCTCAGAAGTCATTTGGTAACCTGCCAACACAAAGGCTCCACGTATTGAAGGTCCAGCAATATCAAAATCCATGTCACAGCCAAGGTTGATGTGTTCCCGTTTATATCCGGTCTTAATTTTAACATTTTTTTTCCTGATCTTCAAGAGTAATCTCTATGCCTAGTGTGTGGTCGGTCCACTTCTCTGTGAACATATATATATATATATATATATTTGTATATGCACATCTTCTCTTATTCATAATTCATTCTGTAGGACTTCTTCAATCTTCTCAGACATCCAACAGAAGCAGACAAGATTGCTTAATTTGATTATGTACCATGTGAAATATTTTGTTTAAAATAAGCAGAATATAAAGACCAAGTACTGTCACAAGACATAAACAAATATTCCATTAAAGGTTGCTACTTACAGAAATATTGTAAATATTTTACATTTGAAACCAGTAGTATTATCTCTTGAATATACATTTTAAAGATCTAAATAAATAGATAAAATAAAACAAGTGATGACATTTTTAATTATGTGTGGAGATCTGTGGCTGTGTGAAAGTGAAAATAGATGTGTTTTCAGTTTCTTTTATATTATGTAAAATGGTGTCGTTGCCACCAGAATTAATAATAATTTTATATCATTTGGTTTATTTTATTTTTGGAAAGTGTTACGTGACTAGTTAGTTTGAAATTGGCTAGTTTTAAATAGTGTATTGCTGAGGAAGAATGGCACACAATAAAAGAAAAGCCTCTAGTATAATACTATACTATTTTTGTCAGAAGTATTGTAGATCAAGAGTTCCTTTCAATGAAGCACAGCAAAGAATGGAATAGACCTATTTGCTTTTCAATTTAGGCCAGGTCTACACTGTAAACTTACATCGGAATAAATATGTCACTCAGTGGTGTGCTGAACAACGCAGTTATACCAACCTAACTCGTGGTGTAAAGCAGTGGTTCTCAACCTTTCCAGACTACTGTACCCCTTTCAGGAGTCAGATTTTTCTTGCATACTCCCAAGTTTCACTTCACTTAAAAACTACTTGCTTACAAAATCAGACATAAAAATACAAAAGTGTCACAACACACTGTTACTGAAAAATTGCTTACTTTCTCATTTTGTCTGAAATTTTAGTTTGTACTGACTTTGCTAGTGCTTTTTCTGTAGCGTGTTATAAAACTAGGGAAATATCTAAATAAGATGATGTACCCCCTGAAAGACCTCTGTGTTACCCCTAAGGGTACACGTACCCCTGGTTGAGAACCACTAGTGTAGAGAGAGAAAATCATCCAAAGCACAGGACTTGGAGGTAATGCGGGACTTCAACTATGCAGATATCTGTTGGGAAAATAACACAGCAGGGCACAGATTATCCAACAAGTTATTGGAATGTATTGGAGACAACTTTTTATTTCAGAAGGTGGAGAAAGCTGCTTGGGGAGAGGCTGTTCTAGATTTGATTTTGACAGATAGGGAGGAACTGGTTGAGAATTTGAAAGTGGAAGGCAGCTTGGGGTGAAAGTGATCATGAAATGATAGAGTTCATGATTCTAAGGAATGGTAGGAGGGAGAACAGCAAAATAAAGAAAATGGATTTCAAGAAGACAGACTTTAGCAAACTCAGGGAGTTGGTAGTTAAGATCCGATGGGAAGCAAGTCTAAGGGGAAAAACAATTGAAGACAGTTGGCAGTTTTTCAAAGAGAGATTATTAAGGGCACAAGTGCAAACTATTCAACTGCATAGGAAAGATAGGAAGTATGGCAAGAGGCTACCCTGGCTTAACCAGGAAATCTTCAATAATCTAACAATCAAAAAAGAGTCCTACAAAGAGTGGAAACTAGGGCAAATTACAAAGGATGAATATAAACAAATAATATAAGTATGCAGCGACAAAACTAGAAAGGCCAAGGCACAAAACGAAATTAAACTAGCTAGAGACATAAAGGGTAACAAGAAAGCATTCTACAAATACATTAGAATCAAGAGGAAGATCAAGTACAGGGTAGGCCCATTACTCAATGGGGGGGGGGGAGAATAACAACAGAAAATGTAGAAATGGCAGGGGTGCTTAATGACATCTTTGTTTTGGTTTTCACCAAGAAGGGTGGTGGTGATTGGACATCTAACAAAGTGAATACCAGTGAAAATGAGGTTGGATCAGAAGAGGCTAAAATAGGGAAAGAACAAGTTAAAAATTACTTAGACAAATTAGATGTCTTCAAGTCACCAGGGCCTGATGAAATGCATTCTAGAATACTCAAGGACCTGACTGAGGAGATATCTGATTGAGGAGATATATGAGCCGTTAGCGATTATCTTTGAAAAGTCAGGAAGATGGGAGAGATTCCAGAAGACGGGAAAAGGGGAAATATAGTGCCAATCTATAAAAAGGGAAATAAGAACAACCCAGGGAATAACAGACCAGTCAGCTTAACTTCTGTACCCGTACCTGGAAAGATAATGGAGCAAATAATTAAGCAATCAGTTTCCAAACATCTAGAAGATAATAAGCTGATAAGTAACAAAAAGAAAAGGAGTACTTGTGGCACCTTAGAGACTAACAAATTTATTTGAGCGTAAGCTTTTGTGAGCTACAGCTCACTTCATCGGATGCATTCAGTGGAAAATACAGTGGGGAGATTTATATACATAGAGAACATGAAACAATGGGTGTTACCATACACACTGTAATGAGAGTGATCACTTAAGGTGAGCTGTTACCAGCAGGAGAGCTGGGGTGGGTGGGAGAAGAAAACCTTTTGTAGTGATAATCAAGGTGGGCCATTTCCAGCAGTATTTTTCATGTTCTGTGTGTATATAAATCTCCTCACTGTATTTTCCACTGAATGCATCCGATGAATGTTATAATTCAAAAGCCAGTTGGAGAACACTTCAATCTCTCTGGTCACTCGATTACAGACCTAAAAGTTGCAATTCTTCAACAAAAAAACTTCAAAAACAGACTCCAACAAGACTGCTGAATTGGAATTAATTTGCAAACTGGATACAATTAACTTAGGCTTGAATAGAGACTGGGAGTGGATGGGTCATTACACCATTACACAAAGTAGAACTATTTCCCCATGTTTATCCCCTCCACCCCCACTGTTCCTCAGACGTTCTTGTCAACTGATGGAAATGGCCCACCTTGATTATCACTACAAAAGGTTCCCCCCCCACCCCGCTCTCCTGCTGGTAATAGCTCACCTTAAGTGATCACTCTCGTTACAGTGTGTATGGTAACACCCATTGTTTCATGTTCTCTATGTATATAAATCTCCCCACTGTATTTTCCACTGAATGCATCCAATGAAGTGAGCTGTAGCTCACGAAAGCTTATGCTCAAATAAATTTGTTAGTCTCTAAGGTGCCACAAGTACTCCTTTTCTTTTTGCGAATACAGACTAACACGGCTGCTACTCTGAAACCTGATAAGTAACCGTCACCATGGATTTGTCAAGAACAAATCGTGTCAAATCAATCAGATAGTTTTCTTTGACAGGGTAATAAGCCTTCTGGATATGGGGGGAAATGGTAGACATGGTATATCTTGACTTTAGTAAGGCTTTTTATACTGTCTTGCATTATCAGCGGTTCACAGTCATGCTGGAAGGACGTAATGAGTGGGGTCCCGCAGAGATCAGTTCTGCATCCGGTTCTGTTCAATATCTTCATCAATGAATTAGATAATGGCATAGAGAGTACACTTATAACGTTTGTGGACAATACCAAGCTGGGAGGGTTTGCAAGTGCTTTGGAGGATAGGATTAAAATTCAGAATGATCTGGATAAACTGGAGAAATGGTCTGAAGTAAATAGAATGAAATGCAATAAGGACAAATACAAAGTACTCCATTTAGGAAGGAACAATCAGTTGCACATACACAAAATGGGAAATGACTGCCTAGGAAGGAGTACTGTGGAAAGGGATATGGGGGTCATAGTGGACCACAAGCTAAATATGAATCAACAGTGTAACACTGTTGCAAAAAAACCCAAAACAACATTCTGGAATGTATTCGCAGGAGTGTTGGAAGCAAGACACGAGAAGTAATTCTTCACCTTTACTCTGTGCTGATTAGACCTCAACTGGAGTAATGTTCAGTTCTGGGCACCACATTTCAGGAAGGATGTGGACAAATAGGAGAGAGTCCAGAGAAGAGCGACAAAAATGATTAAAGTTTAGAAAACATGACCTATGAGGGAAGATTGAAAAAATTGGGTTTGTTTAATGTGGAAAAGAAGACCAAGGGGGGACATAATAACAATTTTCAAGTACGTAAAAGGTTGTTACAAGGAGGAGGAGGAAAAATTGTTTTTCTTAACTTCTGAGGATAGGAGAAGAAGCAATGGGCTTAAATTGCAGCAAGGGAGGTTTAGGTTGGACATTAGGAAAAGCTTCCTAACTGTCAGGGTGGTTAAGCACTGGAATAAATTGCCTAGGGAGGTTGTGGAATCTCCATCATTGGAGATTTTTAAGAGCAGGTTAGACAAACACCTGTCAGGAATGGTCTAGATAATACTTTGTCCTGCCATGAGTGCAGGAGACTGGACTAGATCACCTCTCAGGAGCCCTTCCAGTCCTATGATTCTAATTCTATGTCAATAGGAGGGCTTCTTTTGTTGACATAGCTATCATCTCTTGCAGAGGTGGATTAACTACACCATTGGGAGAAACACTGCACGTTAATATTTTTTGTATTATTTCTTTTACTTAAAGGGAATTTAAACTTAAAAGGAGAGTGCCATTTTCCAGTAGCACTTACCTTGTTTTACCTTCCTTTCTGACTTCCTTGATTTTTATATTATAATTTGATACTGAGACTATTGTTGTCACTGAGGTATAAATTAAGTTTGTTCCCTGCATGGTTACATGTAAAACAAATCAAATATGGCCAGCCTCACACAGGGAAGATCATGTCAAACCTATTTACACCTTTTTGTGTGTTTTTGGAGGTGATTCCTTTTTTATTAAAGTGGAAATTGAAGAGAAAATTCAATCACAGTAAGTCTATTAAATATGTTTTCATCTACCTTTTTTAGAATGTAGGCTTTGCAGGACAGGGACTGTGCCTGTTTTTTGGGAACTACCATAAACAAATAATGGCAATATTTTACTGTTAGAGCTAAACAGAATGTAGCAATAAATATTAGCGTCCATATACTGG